GCTCACTTTTGCTTCCACGCGATCCGGGGGTGGGTTTGTACTATTACGCCTCCTATCGATAAGGCTAGAGTCTACTACAAATGAGTACGTCCGGTCAAGACTAGACCGGTTCGGTTGCATCGGATGTTCTCTTCGATGATGAAAATACCTGGGCAACATCTCCTGTTGTCGAGTCTTAGTTAGGACTTTGCACTGAATGCCCTCATTCTGTAGGTGCGCGGAAGGCTCGGGCCCCAGGGCACTTCCCCTCCGCCCCTCCCGGTTCTAGACTTGAAGAACCAGTCAGGATGGCCCAGGTAGATATTAGTAAATCACCATGGAACCTCTAGAAGGTCCCTGAGGGATTCTAGTGGAGTCGCAGTGGCAATTCTCACCGTCATGATTGTCGTGTCGTCGTCAGCTGTGGATGCCCAGGCCACCATCCACCGGCTGACTAAATCATTTGCACCAACTTCCTCTGCAATTGGAGTCTTGACATCATAACCACCAGACTTTCCCAACCCCAACTGACTGCGACATCCTGCAAATTCCTTCTGACATTCAATTTTACATCATTTGAAAGAAACAGGTTGAGTATCATGAGGATCTTAACGGGAGGTGTACGGACTTGATTATTTCATTGAGTTAACTAGTGACCTACGGAATAATACCCACTATGCTGAGTGAGCTCCAGCTCCGTCTTTAAGCTTATCTTTAGTGACCACGATAGCGCCAACGGCGGGCTGGATCTAGCCCTGCTAGTCTTGAAACAAGTTTTGGTTTGCGACTAAAAAGCACGCGCCAGTATTAACATCTGCATGCTTCTGACAGGCGCTTCTACGAGCTGCTTGTTACACACTCATCCACGCACAAAGTAATTTGATGGTCCGCATCGCATGTCAGTCTGCGACGGTCTGCATGGGCGACCCAGTTCATGGAAATTGTGTTACACAGGGTCTAGATTTTGTCCTACGAACCCTCAGGAACTAGAAGTATTGCAGGCTTATAATTAGAAACGAGCCAGGTGTAATGAACGCATATTGCCAGGTACATTCGGTCTACTTTCTCTCCCTGTCAGGGGGGCTGAGGTCCATCCATGGATAGGGGCCCCAACCCTTGCGAGGTGACATGGATAATGCGAACAAGCTTCGACGTAATCCATCCAATATGTGCCCATACCCCTGCTGCTACGGAGTCTTCTGGGCAATAATTAATGTTAACAAACAAAGAGTCCATGAAGTATCTCGCTATTGTCCTCGCTCACCTTGTGGTCCCTTGTGCTCCGATTGCTATTGACCTCTGCTGAGACAGTAAGACGGACGCCTCAGCGTACAGAGTAGACATTTGGAGCCACCATGAAAGTAATCGAGAAAAAAAAAAAAAAAAAGAAAAAGTCATCTCACAACAGATCATTCTTCACACAGAATCAAAACCATGATGTGTTCTGTTCATCTGTAAAAAGTCCACTCCAATCTAGAACCCCTTCCAGCTCCAACTGGCGAGTCTTGGCAGCCCTACCCGTAAAAAGCAGAGTTTCAATACGGACAGCCCGGCTCCACCATGCCGACCCGATGGAACAACAATTTACTACTCCAACTGCGGCCACCAAATTCATCCTGGATGACCACTTCCAACCAATGTCCCTGACCCTGTCATGGCTTTGGTGCAATATTCTGAATCTGAATCCGAAGCAGAGAACGAGCCCCCTCAGCCCCCAGCAAAAAGGCCCCGTCAAGCCGCCAACAATCCATCTTCCTCACTCCCACCCTTACCAGCCGCGTTTCACGATCTCTATGCCTCCAGCACTCGTGTCAGCGTGACCGACGACCCCAGTCTCCACGGAGGCCGAAAAAGGGTCATTCCCCATGTTGAAGGGAACTGGCCGACCCACATCTACTTGGAGTGTATGTGTCATCCATCATCACCACCAGCATCCTCTGGCAGTCATTAGATTTTCGAGAACGGAAATAACACCCGTATGACCAATCTACAGGGTATCCATCCAAAGATGAGCTTTCTATTCTTAGCGATGTCATAGCGCAGATCAAGGATAGGCTCGATGGAAGCACGATTCAGCTCCACAGCCTACTACATAGTGATCTTGGCGCACAACTGCCCCTCCACATTAGTCTGTCTAGACCGGTCGTGCTACGGACAGAACAGCGACAGTCATTCTTGGACATGTTTCAGTCTCAGCTGAAAGAGTCGCAAATTCCAACGTAAGTAGCTGACTTGCTTATTTTCTTGGGGACTATTATCTTCGTGATCGATCCAATTCATCATGCTGACAAGCTGTGCAAGGTTCCACGTCTCGACAAATAGCCTCGACTGTGTCTCAAATTACGAAAAGACGCGGTGGTTCTATGTCTTACGTGCGGAAAAGCCAGAGGAAGATAATTTGAATCGTCTTCTTCGGCTGTCTAATCGAGCCCTGGCGCGGTTTGAACAGCCTCCGCTATACGAGTCGTCGCAGGATGTGGCGGCTGAGTGGAAGTCAAATGGTGGTGGTGGTGGTACGACACTGCCACGGGTGTCGAGCGAGTCGGGCCAGTCTGGCCAGTCTGGGGCTGATTACTCTCACTGCTTCCATATCTCGTTGGCATGGAGCTTGACGGGTCTATTGTCTGCAGAGAGGGAGCTGATCGGAGGTGTGGATTTGCGTAGGGCACGTGAGTTGAAGGTGCGGTTTGATTGTGTCAAGGTGAAGATTGGGAATCATGTTTCTAGTATACCACTGCAGTAGAGCGATGACAGTTTATATAGACATAGAAGTGCACATAGATGGAAGGTTTTGCTAAATACTGTGGTTGATAGGTAAGTTGTTTATTAACGCTGACTCTTCCAGCGATACTCATAGTATATCAGGGACCGAATTGGTTACTGGTTATACTAGCTTCCAAGTTCATAAGATATCGAAGTAGTAGAAATTGAGCACGAAACTACCAACACCGGTTAATTACTGTGCACAGTGTAACTCGAATATGCATCGGCTATTCCTATACTACTAGATTTCTCATGACAGATATACTAGTAACTACTAGAAGTGCATAACTTTCTCACATACTATATTGTAATAACTGCATCCCATGAGCAATATTGTAGCCTATGCCCGTCGTAGTGGATTGTTGTTCTAACTCTCTACCTCTTGAGCACCTCAAGCTACTAAGTATCCACACGGGCATCGACCAGACACCATACCCTGAAGCCGCTAGTAGTACTTAATGGTCTGTCTGTCTGTCTGTCGACCAAGCTACTACTGTTAGTCATAAGAGATTATATATATTCCATCAACAGCAATACCCAAATGAAATCCACCCTCTCCAATTGCTCAATACAATCACCAGACCTTTCAACCATCAAACATAGTAACTACTAAGAAACAAAGCCATCCACCGAATAGTCTCATATTACTTTCAGTCTATTTCCCCAGTAAAATTTCATCCTGTGTAGATTATGAAACACACCAGCATAACCAACCACCCGTAATATTCACCCGTCCCATACAATACAATACATCCCGCCCAGGCACGTCACAAACCGCTAACCCGCCCACCACCAACCAACACACGCGTAGCTTAGCTTACCTAGCTAGGTAGCTATCTTCTTCCTCCTCAAATTCATCTTCAATCCTCTCCCCCCTTAACCAACAGAAAAAACCACCCCACACCCTCCAAATGTCCCTAATCACCCCACCACCACCACCCATTACCATCGTACGCTATCCTCCCCCAGAAGATAACCAAATGTGCAAGCAAATACCTAACCCCCACAGGAAGACCTTTACGCTTTCCAAGCAAAACACTTTCCTGGGAGCGTCATCGCCCAGACACCACAGCCACAACAAGTGACCAATATCAACCAGCCCGAAGAATACCCCTCATACAACCACGAAGAACAATACACCTTGGAAGAAGAACAGTATGAATACTACTACGACGAAGAAGGAGAAGAAGAAGAAGACCTAGGCTACTACCCCGACGGCGTGAAACGCACCCTCACGGACGAACAAATCCGCATATTCAGACATAGTGAGATCCATGCCTTGAGGAGGGAGAAGGAGTTGCGGGAGGAAGAGGAGGCGGCTGCTGCTGCTGCTGCTGCGGAGCGTGCCGTAGTTGCAGACGCGGACGTAAAGACCGACGCAGCTGGTACAGAAGAAGATGCGGATGTGAAGATGGATTATGGGGATGGGGCTGGGGGTGCTTCTGCTTCTGCTTCTGCTTCGAATACGAATTCGAAGGCGGCTTCTAGGCCTGTGCCGCAGTTTACGGGCAGGAGGATCATTTCGTATGATGATTGAGGGTTGATCAGATTGGTTTTCATGTGATTGCCTCAAATTTACCTGCCTGCCTGCCTAGGTATATGTGCTGCGCTTAGCCGCTGTGGGCTCTGCGCCCTACAAGAGACAGTATCGACGTTCGTGTTCGAGACCCAAGGTGCTTTGCATGCACACCAGCCTAACCTTTCTGACATGGTAAGTCTACTTTACACTGTTTGTTTGCTTTCTTGCTATTCTGCTTCCCACATGATGAAAACATCGTATCAGTCATCCTTAGTCGGAGCGCCATACCATCTGCGGATGTGTAAGGCTATGTCGACTTAAATCTTCTCTCTGAGCTTACTTGTCATTGCTGCTTGTTGGACTTGAATCATATTCTAAGTTCCGTTGCTAATGCTCTTATTGACTAGTGCTGTCCGTGATGAAACAAGAACCAATAATGACACATCATTATATGCATTGACGGTTCCAACACCCTGTTAATGGGTGTGCGACTTGCCATCTATGTTGCGGTCCAGACGCGCGCCTAGAGATGGTGCTTGAATGATCAGCTTCGAAGTGAAAATGCTTCTCGACTTCCTTGAGAGCATGATACTCGTGATGTTCATGGAAGCAGCATATCTTCATCAAACCACATCGGTCCAAGGATCGAAATGTTATTTATCAACATAGCAAAACTGCCCATGCGTAGGTATAGCGCCGCATCTCAAATGTAGCGCCACTAGGGCTTTCCTACATCTACTCAAAGCGTGATTGGCCTCTGTCTAGGGACCAAGCACCAGAAAAAGGCAATCCCAATGAGCAGCCCCAGCATGATGGGCTGCAAAACCTGGACGCCGGCCTGGGAGGCCACCGCCCCCGTTAGGAAAGGGAATGCAGCGGACCCTGCCTGTCCAAGACTGGCAGTGAATCCTGTTGATGATCAGCATGAGCAAATCCACATTCAAATGCCAGCTACTTACCCATTGCTCCCACGTGAAGTTCTTTTGGGATGACCTTGGTGAGAACATAGAGTCCAACTGGGTAGAAAGGACCGATAAAGAAACCTGGTATCAACTATTAGCAGTGTTCTTAACAGTGGCGTACCTTGTGTCTCGCAATGTGCTGGGATGGAGCATACTCACCCAGGAAACACACTGTGACTGCATTGATAGTGATGTCTGGCACCAACCAGAACAATAGCTGCATCGCCACAGCCAACGCGGTATAAACGAACACCATGCGCCGTTCACCCAAGCGATGTGTGAGATCCGCTAAAGCAACACGGCCCAAGGTAAAGCCGGTCCAGAAGCCGGACGCAATATATCCTACTTTGGTAGGGTCGCCATTTCTCACCGAAACAAGGAACTGCACAAGCCAACCTGAAACACGTCAGCAAGGAGCTGGCTCCAATCATGGAAGAACGTACCTCCAGCAGTCACCTCCGCGCCAACGTACAAAAAGAAGAAGCCGTTGAATATCCACACAGTCTTGTTTGACACTGTTTCTCGAAGCTCCTTGCCGGCCGTCTCCTTCGCATTGCTCACATTCGGACGGAAGAGCCCCTTTCTGAAGGTCCAGACCAGAGATGTGATGTTTAGTACGCCGAGCAACATGGTCACAAGGTAGTAATGGTGCCAGACGGGCATTCTTGAGGCAATCGTATTGGCGATCAATGGAGCGAGGATGGTTCCAACGCCATACACGGCATGCAAAATGCCCAGCCACCGATGGGCGTCCTTGACAGTTATAGTGAACATGTTCATCTGGGCATCTTGGAAAGCTACGCCGCAACCAGTGAAGAAGAATGCTGCCACGAAGAGGGGGAAAGGCGGACTCCAGAACATCAAGGCATAGCCGAGACACTGAATGGTTGCTCCCAGGACCAATGTACCGCCCGTGCCTATATGAGAACAGACATGAATATTGGCGAAAGAGGCGACAACCCAACCCACAAAGTTGACTAGGTAGATGATGGACACCTGCAGAAGACCAACATCATAACTCGGTTGTATGTACGGGATCAGAGGGCCCAATGCAGCATCTTTATGATCGACCCATTCGACTGTCAGCTTCGGTTTGCGATCGCAAGCGAGTTACAGGGGGCGGGGCAATGTACCGTTCAGCCCGGCCATCAATGCGGCGAAGTTGGTACTGAGAATCTTGCTTTTCACATCTGCTACATCCTTGGGAAGGAGGAACGTAGACTCATCAGCCGGAGTAGTTTCATCCGGAGCGTAGTTGCCATGTCCAGCTTCTCTGTGGTCGCCCATATTTTGTTGATTGACTGGATTGATGAGTCGCATTGAGAAGGACAACCGCGCACTGGAGTAGCCAGTTACTTATATACGAGAGAAAGCAACCGTAATCCTTGGCAGCAGCAACTAGCTCCACTGTCGCTTAGCTCTATAGCAGGTAATCGCGGCTACCTAATAAACCGACCCCAGTTGATGAGATGCTTGATGGCGGGGTAAACCCGAAGTTCAAGCGAGGTGTGGCAGCTTGCCTCTCTATCTGTCGGTGAGGAACATATGTGGATCTTGGGGTCTAGCCCACCACTCCAGATTGTGCTTGGGGACTCACATCGTGCAGATTAGAGTCAAAACTGCAAAGAGACTGGCGAGAGCCGAGTCAGGTGGACGAGCGGGCAAATGGCGTCTTGTTTTGCCGTTTTGGGAAGGTCTGCCAGCTGCTTACTCATGGTCTCCATACTGCTGGACGATTAGCGCCTGGAAGGACCTTCCTGGTGTTGAGTAGGTTATCGGGGACTCGGGCCGAGGGAGCGTGGAAACCCTTCGTACTGAACTGTTGATCTTTAATGATTGCTATCAAATAGCTATCTGTCGCTCAAGTTGATAACATGTAACCCAAGCGTAGTCGTGGTTGTAGCTCAACACTGAAGAGTGGAGATGCACTGCTATTCTGTAGTCATATCACATCATCGTTGGAATGATAAGTCATTTTCATCTCTTTGGGGAAGGGTAGGAGTGGCTTGTAGGAATAAGTCTTACCGAACCCAGGCTGGCTGATGCAAAACACTCTGTATGGCAGCGAAGAACCGAGTTTATCAGCTATATTGGGGACGAGAAAATTGTTGTTTCCATTATTCGGTCTTTTGCCAGATACGAGTGCCGTAGATGCAGTCTGGACAGTGATTCCCAATCCGGGTCGTTCCGAGATAATAGCTGGCTGTCCCATGTTCTTGCAGAGAAGTAATGTAGATGATCTTAAGGAAGAATGAATGCTAATTTGAGGGCATATGAAGCTGCAGTCGGGTTGCGAGCTGGTTTCAATGGTAGAGAAGAGCGGTGGAGAGCGGTTTGGACGGATGAAAATTTGTTGTGATAGTTCAATTGGAAGGTAGCCCTGTTCCATTGGGGGTCTTATCTGAACAACCTCCAAAGAGCTGCATGGCCACTTGGGCATGAGGATGATGAAGAGGAAGGGATGGGATTGTCACAAAGAGGTATGAGGGGAGATGATAGTTAGTACCCATTGGGTCCCAGAGACTACTTGAATAGACGGAAAACATATTGCTGAAACGAGAAACCACCCTTCAACGGACCTAGCCTATGCAATATCAGTCTTCATCGATTGAAAGAAGTATTAGTCGTAGGGTCCTGGTAGTTACAGTAGCACACCTACAAAAATCAACGTCTTCGGGCCGGTCGTCTATCTTACTCTTAATAGGTACATCACAATAAGGGAGCATGCTCTTCGATTCTTTTGCTCTTAACTAGTACCATCCACCTCATCCTCTTTGCATTAACACGCATACATGTGACAATCTACGGCAGTCTTTCGATAATAGCAGTGTATACAAACCCCGCAGTGTCAAGACATCTTGTCCGCAGCTAGCCGGGTTCCTAACAGAGCTACCCCGGATCTTCTTGGGCGAATACGGGGTAACGCTTAGAGGCGGGGATGGTATTTATGCCGTGTGGTCCCTGCATCCACGATCTTTTCCAGATCAGGGGATGGCCGACGCCCATTGGACACAAGGAAGCCAATTCTGGTAAATTCCTGGACTAGTAAATCAATTCTACCCCAGCCATGAGGGATAATACTTGTGGGGTGAGTGATATTCCCCGCAAAGCAGGAACTGTATATGTAAGAGAAACTGAGGATATGAATTTCCATGACCAATTGATTAAGAAAGCGGTATCCCATTCCGCCTTTATCCGGATTCTCTGAGCACATTACTGATGACGAGCGGTATGCAATGGCGACCTGAGATGGATTCGGGGGTGTAAAATGCCTCGTCTTGTTGAGAAGCGGTTTATGTCATGTTGAGAACGTTCTTGAGCTCCTTTGAAGCTTAAGTAGCCAACATTAACTAAATTATATCATAGCAAGGTATCCCAATCCAGAAACAATGGCGAGTATGAACAAGTAAATAAGTAGTAAAGTGGATGAGCAGCCCGTCGCATCCGTCCGATAAGCCCAGTGTAACGTTGGATCTTCAAAGAGGGTGACGGGCCAACCAGAAGTCAGCCTGGGATCGGCAGGGTTACACAGGCCGACCTTAAAACAGGAAGTGGAAAGGCTGGGCATTCTTGGAATCGACTGAGGAATCCCTTTCTAATGCAAAATTACACTGCCATGTATCACTCTTATCACGAGCAATGCCACAATCATGCTTAATCAAGGCAGTGCCTGATGTTCTCCTGCCGGTGTTGCCCGGCGTTGTGACACTTGAACTTGCAGCTCGGTTCTGGATGACCTCAAGGAAGGGATAGATTGATATCCGCGGAAGTTTAACTGTCAAATCATGGTGGAACCGATTCCTGCAGAATCGGGAAAGCCGTGGTTCACGGCAAGTGCAAGTCTGGGTTACGTCTTCGAGTGTCTCCACCGCATGCATGCGACATCCTGAACATCCCCCTCCCCAACGAGGCTGGCTGTTCGGAAGGGCGTGCGGCTCCATGGCAATAACGCAATTTCTTTGCAATGTGCCTTTAACTCGGCTCCTCCAGGCAATCAATTTGTTTTCTCTCTCTTCCTCGTCCCGCAGCTCCTCTCCTTCCTCATAGTTATAACGAGCAGGCTGAGGTCAACAGGGAGCCTGTCTCTTTACTCCATTGCACGGGCTCAAGTGCTACAACTCGAGCATTTCGTCCTGTACTCTGCTCGAGCAGTAACGCCGTCATCATGAGATCTTCAGAGATCTATCCGGCACCCCCCACGGTGGCCGACCAGGAGCTGTGGGAAGAGAAGGAAGTGTCGACTGAACAGAGCTCTCTCGAAATCGGAGAGAACAAAGACCTCGCTCTTCAGCAGACACAAGATGCCTTTGGGAATGAAGAGTTTGCGGAGGTCAAGTACAAGGTCCTCAAGTGGTGGTATGCAAGCCATTGTACTACCTATCTCAACATTGTTCCTGACGTCTATCTAGGCAATGCGGCCTGCTCATGGTGGCTGAAACAGTCTCCCTGGGGGTGCTGTCCTTGCCTGCTGCCGTTGCCGGCTTGGGTTTAGTCCCGTAGGTGCATGCGACCTCCTGTGAGGTATCTGTCACTGACATCACCACCTCCAGCTCGGTGATTATCCTGGTCTGCCTGGGCGGCCTGGCCACCTACACGGGCTATGTGATCGGCCAGTTCAAGTGGAGGTATCCGCACGTTTGCAACATGGCTGATGCGGGTGAGGTGCTTGCTGGCCGCTTTGGCCGTGAGCTGTTGGGATTTGCCCAGATCATCTTCCTCATCTTCATCATGGCCAGCCACCTGCTAACCTTCACGATTGCCATGAATGCCTTGACTGACCATGGCACGTGCTCCATCGTCTTTGGAGTGGTGGGCCTGGTTGTCTCTTTCGCGTGCTCGTTGCCGCGCACTTTGGAAAAGATGTCCTGGCTCTCGTTAATTTGTAAGCAATCCAAACTTGTAGTTAGCGTGCAGAGCGACGCTGACTATAGCCAGCTTTCATTAGCATCTTGTCATCTGTGTTCATCACAATGATCGGGGTGGGTATCTCACACCCTGGGAAGGTGATTGAAGCAACGGTCAGAACCGACCTAATCCACGGCTTCACCGCGGTAGCCAATATCGTCTTTGCATTTTGTTAGTATCCGCTGCCTAAGTCGCTTTGATTGTCAAGCTAATCCTGTTATAGCTGGACATGCTGCATTCTTTAGCCTTGCAGCGGAATTGAAAAATCCAGCCGACTATCCCAAAGCCTTGATGCTGTTGCAGAGCGTCGATATGACCCTCTATCTCGTTGCAGCCGTCGTGATCTACTGCTATGGGGGATCCACAGTTACTTCTCCCGCACTGGGATCCGCCAGCACGGTTGTGTCCAAAGTTGCTTATGGCATTGCGCTTCCGACAGTATGTTGCAACTCCGTATAACAGTGCTGGTTTCTGACAACCATACAGATCATCATCGCCGGCGTTATCAACGGACATGTGTCTGCCAAGTCCGTCTATGTGCGTATCTTCCGTGGCACTGACCACATGCATAAGCGCACCTGGACTGCCGTGGGCTCTTGGACCGCAATTGTCCTAACACTGTGGGTGCTCGCCTGGATCATTGCGGAAGCGATTCCAGTGTTCAATAAATTGCTGAGCTTGGTTGTATGTCCTACACCCTGGTCCCAGTTGCAATTGTACAAGTCAGGGACAGTCTAACAATATGCAGACTGCGCTCTTCGCCAGTTGGTTCACTTTCGGCCTGAGCGCGATCTTCTGGTTCTACATGAACTCTGGCCGATGGTTCTCGTCTCCGAAGAAATTCGCCCTTTCTGCTGTCAACTTGCTTGCTTTGGCAGTTGGATGTTGTCTGGTATGTATATCCTCCACTGATCCAGACCAGTCTACTCACATATACAGTGCGGTCTTGGGCTCTATGTCTCCGGAAAGGCCATCCACGACGATCCCCACCATGCCAGTTTCACCTGCATGAGTACTGTCTAATGTGTGATGAGGTTATGTCAATTGTCTGTTTGCTCGTGATAGACTGGGAATATGGCGTTTGAGGGTCGACCTTGGTTACGATCGTTATGATGTCCTGGTATGAACAAGATGGAGTCTTGTATATAAACTTGTAAATACATTATGCGCATGATCGATATCGAGAAAAAGCATGACAAGCACGAGACTAACGCCAACCGACTCCAGTGTCTTGACCACGAACGTAACTCCAATCCCACCATGCGTCAAAGCAAAGTACTAAATGCCGCAGATATAACACAACAGACCATGTATCCGACTTGAAAGAGGACAAAGTCTCAGGGAGTAATCCCTAGAAACAGGAAGAGATGTAACGATAAGAAGAGATGAATAAAATGGTATATGTAAACCGTCCACCGACAAAACTAAGAAAGCCTAATAGATAAAGTAAAGTAAAGTAAAAGTATAGAGAAGTAGAAAAGAAAAGAAAATAGAAGCGAAGAAGAGAATTCGAAAGAATGAAACAAACCACTGTTCAACGCCATCCATAGTGTACCATACCGAACCAACCCATACCAAACCAAACACACTCACTCCAGTAAATTCCCTCTTCAAATGCAGAAAGAAGGGAAACAGAACACCAGTAATCTAATGCAATCATGCAATCTACCCCGTCTCCCCGCGTCCACTCGCCCTCTTCATCCTTCGCCTCTTCCGTCGACACGAATCGATCGCTTCGGGCGTGAGAATCTCCGCGGGGAGCTCGAACTCGCGCTCTTCAATCTCGGGAATAGGTTGTCCGAAGGCTAAGCGGGTTCGACCTTTCCGGGCTGGTCCAGCGAGGGCTAGTTCGCGGAGATGGGGTTTCGAGTAGAAGGAGGTGAAGGGTTTGGTGGGTTCGGGGGGTAATATTTCTGCTGGTGGGGGTGGTGGAGGAGGAGGAGAAGGAGGAGGGGCTATGTTGGAGGCGGTGGCTTTGTGTTTGGTGGAGGATGAGGGTTTGGTTAGTTTCTTGCCCGTTGAGGTACTTGTGGTTATAGGATTCGTGGTGTTTGCTGTGGTTGTTGTAGTGGCGGATCTTGCTTCCTGATGTAGTTGTCTTGCTGCCCAGGCGTCGACGTCGTTGGGGTCTGGGGGATCTCCACCGCAGCTTTGGGCGTCGGATAACGGGGTGGTGCCGTCTTCTGGGTCGCCGTTGGGGGATGTGGCTGTTGTTTCTGGGGAGTGGTCCTTTTTGCTACTGCTAGCGGTGGTGGGTGGGACGGGCTCTTCCTCGGCCGGTTTGTCCTTTTCTGACTTGCGGCGCTTTTCTTCTTCCCTCCAGATTTTGAACTTCTGCAGGACGGCGGAGATCTCCCGGATGAAGTAGGTGCGTTTGGACTCGAAGTGTTTGCGCTCCGGGTCGCTGATCAGTCCGGTGATTCCCATGACGCGCAGCCAGTCGTGGCCTTGGAGGTCATCCAGGAGACGGTCTAAGTTTTGCTTTTCGTGCTGGGCGCGGTCGCGCTCGATGTTGCGCAGTTGCTTTTCTTGTCGCTCATTGCGCCGGTGCGGGCGGAAGTAGGTTTCTTCGCTGAGAGGGTCGGGAGAGGTTGTGGGAGAATCTTCGGCGGTGGGAGGTATGCGTGGGGAGGTAGAAGGATCGGGAAGGGTGATTGTTTCGCAGTTGTGGAGGTTCACGAGAGGGTTTCCAAAGGGTGTATCGGTATCAGAAATGGGGTCGGAGGATGGTATGAGCGGTTCGTGGAGGTCGTCGAGGAGTTTGATGGTGGTATTTCCCGCGAGAAACTCTGTGCAGGCCAATTTGTCAGCCGAACATTTTGTAAATCAAGCATGTTCTTCTGCAGTCTTACCGGTCTTTGGCGGCTCCATACTGAGGAGCTCCTCATAGTTGGGAAAGTAGAGCGCCAGCTCGCTGCGCGCGCGGGAGCCACCATCATGGGAGCGGAGGGAGCGCCGTTGCTCGCGCCCGGTGTTTGGCTGCTCGGTCGGAACTGTCGGCTGCTGCGGGGTCGCATCCGGGGCAGGTTGAGAGGGTTTAGATGCTATCGAGGCCGATGTAGGCTGCTGTATAGGCGTTGCAGCTGCCTCAGGCTCGGGGTCAGCGGCGGCAGTTGAGCGGCGCGGGCGACGGGCGGAAGAGGAGGCGGCGGTGGTGGTGACGGCGGAGGGTGTCCCCGCCGGGGCGACCCTCCGCGAGACCGACGAGTTGGCCGTCGCGGAGGGGGAAATGGTATCTAATGGATCTGGCGATTCGCGACCGACAGGAAGGAAGTATGATGTGATCGTGGGGGTGGAATCATTGCGGAGTATGCGACGGGGATTCGGACGGGGATTTGGTCGCGGAGTGGCCGGTGACGACGAGGTGGGATTATTGCTGGCCAGCGGGCGGCGCGTCGAGGTCCGCCGGCGCAGGGGATGATGATGAGACGAGAGTTTGTAGGGTGTGGCAGCCGAGGAGGATGAGTTCTCCGTCGTGGTGGTGTCCAGCAGATCGGGGGAGCTCTTGCGACGACGCGATGACGATTGAGTCTGGAGACGAGCTCGCTTTGCTGGTGGTTCGGAGTCCGGCTGGTCGGGGGAATGGCCGTGATGAGGAGGATCTCGTCGCAGGGAGACACGGACAGGCATCAGGGTGGTGGAGGTCATTCGGGAGGATCGAGGGGGGAGAGAGGAATTGAGACGTGGGGGGAAATAGGTCAGGAGGGATGCGTGCACGGCATGTCAGGGCCAGGCGGGGGCGATTCGGAGGATTGAAGTTGGTAGGATGAAGCAACTCGAGAATCGCAGCTGCAGGCCTGGATGTTGTTCCGAATTGGGGAGGAGTTGAAAGTTGTATCTTTACGGATACCGCAGGAGGTATGTCTCAGTACCTGACAGGACCTGTGTTACCGTTATGGTGTATGATACCTGTCACAACGATACCTCACTTGACTAGCCTACATACATACATACATCTATCTTTACTTATAACATATTTACTTCTTCCTCTTCTTTCCTTCTCCAACTCTCTCGCTGCATCAACTTCAATCTCATATCCATCCCGTTCACTCCTTTTTCCGGGCTCACTTTTCATTTCTCCGAGGAACCAATTCTCCGGCGCCTACCCCATTCCTCTACCATAATGTCTCCCTGCACGACGTGGGGGTGGGAGCTACCCTGACTTGCCATAGGAGGGGATCTGCTGGAGAAGAGTGTGGGGTGCGTGGGGGTTTTTGGCTGGATTGTTTTCTGCTCGACGCTGTCTGGATGGAGTCAACCGGCTCAATGTCCGACTCTCTCCAAACTTGACTGGTAACTGTTTCCCCTCTTAGCCACCCACTGGCTTTTTTTTATTTTTTACTTTCTTATATCATGGCAACGACATCCTCATTGCTTTCCATCTATCCTCCTTCTTCTCCTCCTTCATCTTCCCCCGCATTCACCCAATCCACCACCACCACCACTCTCTATACTTCCCTCACCACCACACCTACTACCCCAGATTGATCACCGACCCAATCACCACCTCCACAATGGCCATTACCCCCCGCCCCCTCAAACCCGGCATCTACGTCCCAACCGTCGCCTTCTTCACCTCTCCCAATGAAGACCTCGACCTGACCACCACCGCCCAACACGCCACCTATCTAGCCCAAGCCGGCGTGACCGGTCTCGTCGTGCAAGGCAGCAATGGCGAAGCCGTCCACCTCAGCCGTGAAGAACGCAACCTGATCACCTCCACCACCCGACAGGCTCTCGACACCCACGCGCCCTCCGCCCCGCTCATCGTCGGCTGCGGCGCCGCCTCCACCCGCGAGACCATCCAACTGTGCCAAGACGCCGCCGCCTCCGGAGGCGACTATACCCTGATTCTCCCTCCCTCGTACTACAAATCCCTCCTCTCTCCCAAAGACCTCCTCGACCACTTCCGTCTCGTCGCCTCCGCCTCCCCCATCCCTATCCTGGTATACAACTTCCCCGGTGCCTCCTCGGGCCTGGACCTCTCCTCAGACGACATCCTCGCCTTGGCAGAACACCCCAACATCGTCGGCGTGAAGCTGACCTGTGGAAACACGGGTAAATTGGCGCGCATTGCTGCCGCTGCTGAACCGGGCTTCTTGACCTTTGGTGGCTCCGCCGACTTCACGCTCCAGACGCTGGTGGCAGGCGGTCATGGAGTGATTGGTGGCGTGGCTAATCTGATTCCGAGGTTGAGTGTGCGTGTGATGGAGCTGTATCAGGCTGGTCAGGTCGAGGAGGCTCAGAGGTTGCAGGCTATTGTGGCGCGTGCGGATTGGCAGGCGATTAAGGGTGGGTTTGTGGCCGTCAAGAGTGCCTTGCAGACGTACCGTGGATATGGAGCCTTGCCGAGACGGCCCTGTGTGGTGCCGTCGGAGGAGCAGGCGACGGCGTGGAAGGATTCGTTTGCGGAGGCTATGGAGTTGGAGAGGCAATTGGAGAAGCAGGCTTAGCCTTTCACTCTGTATCTACCTACCTACATACCTTACCCTACTATACCAGGTTGAAATATACATGCAAACGCAATCAATATCCATCCCGAGATACTTACTCACTCCCACTTCTTCTACATACCATCATCACATCACCATCTTCATCTATACAACCGGCAACACCAAATAAGAATCAAACCCTTCCCCACAATGAACTTCATGCACCTGCTCCTCCACCTCCCCTTCCACTAGATCATCAAACTCCACCTCCGGATAACACAAATCACGCCCCGCCACTCGCAACATAATCCCCTCCCCAGCCCCAAACACCATCCCAATCGGCCACAACGTAATATCAATCGGCACGATCTTCCCGGCGGGTATCATCTCCGCGCGATCATGTGTATACACGATCTCATGCTCCGTGGAGAGCGTCTCGTCGCGCGTGACGGCATGCGACGCACGCAGGAACCCCTGCGGCCCGAGCGTCTTGGCTGTGTTGACGTTGGGGACGGCGTCGACGGGCACGGGACACGGGTAGTTGAGGTGTTCGAGGAGTTCGCCGGTCGTGGAGATCTTGCGGATTTGCACGATGATGTGCATGTCTGTGTGGTGGGGGGTGGAGAGCCATAGGTGGACGCGGGGGTACCCGGCTAACTGGGTGGGGGTGGGGAAGTGGAGGGTGAAGTCCTGTTGTTCTGTTAGGATGGGGTTTGAGGGGAAAGGGTATGGGTAGGGGAGTGAGTGGGATGGAACGTACGGAAGTGCCGTGAAGAGCGGAATGGGTTGTTGAGGTGACTGTGTCTGGGAGAGAGGGTTGGAGGGTCTTGGTTGATGCGTTGAGGTAGAATCTCTTGAGCTCCTGCCGGGTTAATGGGTAGGTTTGCTCGGGGTGTTCGAGGATGGTGGGCACGGAGCTGCCTTCGAAGCCTAGGAGGGAGAGGCGCACGGGTGGTGTGCTTTCCCAGTCGTTGGGCGTGTTCTTGAGGTAGCGGTCGAAGAAACGAGAGAGGTCGTCGACCATCTCCGGTCGGTAGAGATCGTACCATTCTTGGTATGGGTGTACGCGGAGCCATTTGCGGGTGCTTTGGGCGGTGCGGAAGGTTTCAAAGGAGCCACGCGTGTGTAGCATCGAGGAGTAGGATGCGAGGATGTAGAGGGGAATGTCGCCGATGCGTTCGGTGTGGATGCGTTTGCTTTGCCAGTAGGCGTCGTCGAAGGGTCGTTTGCTTAGCATGGCGGGCATGTTCTCGGCGGTTCCGTGACCGGCGAAGCCGGTGAGGATTAATTTGTGGAAAGCCTCGTTGTGCTTCATGCCACCGCGCATGGTTAGGTCTCGGTATAGGTCGGTGAAGCCTTCCCAGGGAGCGAGGGCTTTGAGGGCAGGATGCTCGAGTCGCGAGGCGAAGTTGACCTGTGCGATGGAGAGCCACGAGTTGCCTGCCATCCCGACGGAGTGATTGCACCAGGGCTGTTTGGACAACCAGTCGATCGTGTCATAGATGTCTTCGGCTTCTTGTTGGCCCCAGAAGGTGATGTTGCCTTCGGAGTTGCCGGCGCCGCGGGCGTCGATGTTGATGATGGCGTAGCCGCGAGGCACCCATTCGGCGGGATCGGGGGCTTCGAACTTCTCATAACCTGAGGTCCGGCTCTTCTCGAGCCCAGCGCGGAAGGGCGCCATGCTGTCGTAGCTCTGCGGGCCGGTGCCTGTCTTGCCATAGGGGCTCCATGGGATGATGGCTGGGACAGGGGTGTTGTCGGAGTCGACAGGACGAAAGATATCGGTGTATATCTTGATACCATCGCGGAGGGTAATGGCTATATCCTGCTCGAAGAGCACGTCTGTGTGGAATGCGCGATGGCCTGGAGATCGCACATGTCCTGCGGAAAGGACTGTCTTCTTGCCTGGGTGGAAGCCTTGATAGTTGTAGGCAGGATGTAATGCCGGTGGTGTGAGGGGGAACCATTCGAGGTCGGGAAAGGTAGCACGAATCTTCTCTTCAGTGGTAGTCATGATGTCTGCATTGAACGAGGTCTAGGGTCTGAGTATTTGGTAGTATCTGGTGGTCTGCTAGCAGTTTATATAAAGTAGCGGATGGTGTCCATAGAGATCCCCGCATCCCCACTGCTGGTCCCCCACATTCGGGACGCATCACTATCGACACATCATTCGAGTATATAGAGAGGTATGAGGTGATTGGTGTGGGAACTGCTTCATGGGTTTGAACGCGATCGACCACTGCCTGGCATTTGTCCATAATCGAGTGGTAGAAGGACTGGCATTTGCCGAATTGCAGCCATTGTCCGAGCGATGACATCTATACTATCTGCCTCGGGAAGTGGGAAAGGCAAGTGGGAACACATCCACAGGCTCAGAACAAAGCCTGAATGGATGAACAGCAGGGAAGAAGATGGAGAAAGAAAGCGCAAGAGTGGGGAAGTGCGGAGTTGATGATGGAGGACTGGCCTGGCTGGGGTCAAGTGACTTGCGCCTGTCTCAGCTGAGCAACAAACATCCTTGGATACAACATCTATCATCACAGCAAGTTGAACGTACTACTCCATACCCAAGCTATACAACTCCGGCACCTTCTCATCGTCCCCCATTTTCCTCTCGCCCAAGAACGCCCGCACGCCCATTCCCTCCCTCCAGCCCTGCATATCCACCGGCTCCTCCATCGACTTCACTGACGCCTGCCACAGTACCCTCGCATCTCGACACTGATGCACCGCGCCCACCCCATCGATGTCGAAGATGGTCTTACCGTGCCAGTCCTTTGTTTTCCGGGGCCGTTCGATCGTGTCATCTGCAGCACAGAGGATGCCCTATCATGGTCAGATTTGAGCGAAGCAGAGGGGTAGACAAGTACAATGAACGAAAACCCACCTGAGCAATATAGTCAAAGCAATGCGCCCAATGTACCTTGTCATGCATCATGTTGCCCGAATGCGCCTGACTAGTTGAGTTGATTTTGTTCTCCGTCGTCTCAGGGAAGACAATCGCGCGCAGCACAATCAGACAGTGCAATTGATGGAACATTGATATTCCCCAGCTGAGGAGTTTCTTCTCTTTCTTCTCGTCAGCGGTGAGATGGATACGGTCGGGAATTGTATGAGATAGGATGCCTCCGCCACCGGGCGGGAGGAGGATGGATTCCCATGTCTGGACTTCGTCCGAGTCGTTGACTGTTCGTTCGAGTTCAGGGCGCTCGTTGAAGACTCGACCGTGAGTCTGGTCTGGTAGGCTTAGGGACTGTGAGGGACATATGGGAGGGATAATATGTGGGAGAAAAGTGGGTGGTGTAAGGAGGAGGATGGTGATGGTGGTGAGAAAGAGGGTGGTGAGGATCAGCGAGATGAGACAGGGGGTATAAATTGATGTCTTGGACATTTCATGGCATTTCTTGTTTTCTTTCTTCAGTACTTTAATGTAGAGAAATGACCGGGGTCTGGTGGTTTCATGATTCTTTTATCTGGGGGTTGTTCTTTATTGTTGCCGCATCGGGTATACAATGGTTCTTTATGGGATCCATGGTTGAGCTGTATAGAAACCATGGTTCGTAGCTAATTCATAAGTGTATTTAGACCTCCCTCGAAGTTGAATAGCCAGCTACATAGCTAACTAACTAGGACAGAATATGCCCATCTTTGGTACTGCCCATATCAAACATGGATAGACACTATACTAGCTACGGAGTACAGGGAGGAGATTCACATGACCAGCAATATCTGCACTAAACCAACACTAATCTGCACAGTGATAAGAAGCCAAACAGACATTCAAATCCCGGGGAGCTAGACTAGCTGCACCAACACAGCACAGAGCAGAAAAGCGACTGTGACGACAAGTGGCAAAAACCGGGCAACCTGCAGAAGCAACTAATGCGAGCCTGATTGCTGCAAGGCATCCTGAGGGAATGGATACCTTGTCTGTTCGGAATGATGATAATTGGTGGGGAGGCAGCTGTTTGTTACTGAGGATTCAGTATCCGTCCACACCATTATTCGTGTATCCATCCATCTATCTAACTGGTAATTGTACACATCTCATTCACAAATCGACTTTCGACAAACATCAGTGTAAAAGTAAAGTTTCACAACCTAACCAGTAATAAAGTTAACCCCATCTGCAGGTCCGTCAAGTTCAATCAATCAGTCAGGTTTAAATCCGATACTTCCGAATACCAACCCAGCCAACCGGACTAACCGATTAGCATCATAGCAGCAGTAGCAGCAGCAGTAGCACCGCCTCCTATCCTGTCCAGGTAGGTGGTAAGTGTCTGGTACTCCTAGTATTCCCCTATCCCGCGAAAGGTCAAACTAACTGACAAACTAAACGAAACTAAACCCAACCCCGGTGCAAAACTACCTGCCTAATTTCCTCCCCGTCTTCCTCCTAGTTTCCGGTTCACTGGAATGGAATGGACTGGCGGGAAAGGAAAAAAAAAATGGGTGCTGGGATGGATGGATGGTGTCAATACCTGCCCTTTTCGGGCATGAATTACGGGGAAGGAGACAAAAAACAACATGGGCTCGGTTTGTTTTTTTGTTGTTCAGGTTCAGCCAGCCTCTTTCCATGTCCACCTCCCCGAATAGGTTTAGTCTCCCCTTCCTTGGGGGATTCCCTATTCCCTAACTTGGATTCGTACGTTAATTCCGTTCCCTTATGACGATAGCTATTTACTTCTCTACTAGTTTACTTGGTAGGTATTTAGGTGAATACGTAAATCAACAATATTATTACTGGAAGGAATGGCTACTACTATTTACTAGTGGCTGTCGCTAGGCGAAGTGGCCAATCATGTACATAGTACTGGTCTTCTTATTTCATTCATTGTTTTGTTTGTTTGTTCTTGTTGTTTTTCATGGTCGGGCCGAGATGGATGGCTATTCATCAGTCACATCTAACTATCCGTGGGAATGGTAACTACTACTCACTATTCTACTAGTATTATTCCTGCCAGTCTATCTATGTAGCTAGGTAACGACAATAAGTAGTATCTATCATTTGTCTATGACATAACTATTCACGGAGTAATAGATACATAGACAGATACTACTGTACACATATAATGATATTCAGGGGATGCCTTCGGTGATGCTAGTAGTTACTCCCCGTTATCGGTGTTCGCCGTTTATTCGATCGCGATTTCGTGCATGTGAGTAAAATAAGTAACTACTACCTCAGATATGCTACTACTATCTACTACTACTACTACTACTACTACTACTGTACATGCTTCAAGTGTTGCCCGACAATGTATCTACCTAGTTGGTATCAGAGACCGAGATACTGATTGGTATCCCCTCCTGTAGGTACACAATCCCATCCAACCATGACTCAGTTACTTACCCAATTCGTCATTCAATCAATCAAATCATATCCACTAGTCTCATTTATCTAGTACTACGTACTCCTAACTATATCGCCACATAATATAGTATCTACACCATCGTCAAGTTCTACACCACCACCAACCACAATGCAACCCAGTAGATCTTAGGCTAGATCCTAAAGTAAACACAGTTCTTGCTAGGGATTTGAATCTCTCATCCTTTCATCCTTCGCTTCGCTTCGCTTCATTCATGGAGTATCTTGGATGGGTTACATCCAAATTCGCCTCTCGAGCGGGGGGGTTTTTCATCGTCATTATCAACTGACACTTCTAACCTAGCGAACTAAGTAACTAAATAACTAGTTAGTTAAACTAACATAGCTAGATAATTACCCAAGTAATGTTCGGGATATGGTCCACAATGTAATGTGAAGGCAAAGAAAAGGCAACAAGGTTGAGTCAAATTAATTATCCGATCTACTACTATTCTTAGCCTATGTTGTGTGCCCTTACGGATGTAACACTTGGCAAGCAAATAAGTAGATGCCTTCTTCCTCTTCTTCTTCTGCGGGTATAGCGGCAACCATACATATGCATATATATATATACATCGGTGAGTTGGAATAGGAGGAATAAATCAAGGGATAGTAGCTAGTTAATTAATTCTACGATTGAGTCAATCGGGGGGGGTTTGTTATATTTAGTATTATTAGTATTATTTTATTGCGATTGTCCCTTCGGTTGTTCGGAGTAAAAACTGTATACTATATTTCCTAGAAGTTAGTTGATGATGTACTATGATGATGCTAACGCATTGTGGTTATGTTTTTATTGTGAAGGCAACTAGTTCCTTACTTACTACTGAGTAAATAGTAAGTTATGCTGTGGGAGTAAGTAATCTCGCTTCTACCGTTAGTATTCGTACTTTGTACGTGTGTCCTCACTTAGTTCATTGCAATGTAAATCTTCTCTCTCTCCTAAGCGATTTGTTTCATTGTTTTATGTTTACTATCTATCATAAACGACTATCCTTTTCAGCTGAGCTCCCAGTCTAGACGTCCAATTTAGCCTCGTGGCTTGCTTTGACAGCTGCATGGTGGAGAAGGTTTCCCTTAACTCCAACTTATTGACAAGAAAAAATTAGGCATTGTTAACGGAAACTCTCCTCCGCAACTATGTTCAATAGACAGCATCCACTGGATCCATTGTGGCAAAATACGGCCCCAGACCCAGAATGCTTTCTAGTACGGATAGATGTCAAAAGGTTGGTGATCCTTCCGTTGAGTACGTAGTCGGGGTCCCATAACTATGATGGTGGTACCTTTGGGGGTCTATCCGTTGTTTCGATTAGGGATAGACATGTTGGGGAATTAGCTTCCGGGTGTACTCCCGTCGTAACCGCTACTAGTCAATTTTTTTTTCTTTGCCTTAGGAGTTATTCTGTTCTGTCTCCTGTCGTAAGGGGGACGGTAGTCGTCTAGGTAAGGGGGAGGGAGATGCCACGATGTCTCCAACTGTCGGGCAAGGGCCTGGACTGGGCGATGAAGATCGCGCCCCCGACTACTGGAAAAATTTTCAACGCCTTGTCATAGGTTGGAGACAACTAAGCAGTTGAAGTGTCTGCTTTGTAACGGGGTAAGTGCTTCCGGAGGAGCAGATCCATGCATCATCAATCAAAGCGACTAGACTACTACCTTATTCAGTCGGATAAGGCAAGTCCGTTATGATATATGCAGTTTTAGTCCCGCAAGGCACTCGCTTCAGGAGAGACATTATTCATCGGACATGCCGACACTATTGCTTGACGTCTGGGGCGCGGCGCTGCAGATCTCTGTGCTTTATCACGACCGTCCCGAGTTTCCGTCAAAGACTGTGCACACCCACACACTAGACACGGCGGCGGGTGACACCGCCTCATGTGCACTCGGCGCTAAAAAGAAAAAATTCTTTGGTGCCAGAGTCTCGGGGTTTGAAGGCGCCCATGCTTGCTGTCATAGGCTTGTGAACGGGGCAAATCGCATCCCTAGCCCATGGGCTTAGCCACATGGACTAATCCAAAGCAGGTTGCAATTCACCCACTTAGCTCGGGCCCATCGTGTGCCCCAGCCACATTCTCATCGGGCGTCAGGCACACGGGATCCATCTCGGGGACCGTCAGGACGGTCCTGTATTTTCTTCTATTTTGTTTTTCTTTCAGCGGATTCAGTATGGTATAGTAAATAGCTGCATGCAGGTTGGCATGCCGAGTCATGTTTGTGGGTGTCAGAGTGCTGATTCGCGCTCCTGTCGAGCCCTAATGGGCACAATGCGCTGATCATTGCCGCTCATTCTCATGCGGGGGGTAGCCGTTCTACGTAGTACGTAGTACTGTGTGGTGGTCAACCCCTCAGGCCTTTCCGATCTCGCTCTGCCACCTGGAGGAGGCAGGTACCTACCTACACGATGCATAGAGAGAATAAGGCATAATAGGAAGACATGATAGGCAGCTCATGATGGATGCATGTGATGTACCAATCCCGTATCTTCATTGCACATCGTGATTGACCGAAAATGCATCCCCCAAGCAGGGGTGCGCAAATCAGAGAGGAATGAACGGAAAAATGGCTGTCTCGGAACGAATGCGGAGCATCCAATGACCGTCAAAAGTAAGGACCCTCCCTAACCGTAGTAGCGGAACAGAAGTGCGAGCCAGAATGGGGGCCACTATCTGCTGGAGTGGGTGGGAAGCAGTCGTCGACTCAAGGGTCTGGACCTGAAGAAAATTCTGAATTGCTTCCTCGCGCCTATGTCGCAGGACCTGCTGAATTCGGAGAAGGCTTCCGACCGACTGTAGAAGGAGAGAACTAGAACTCGAACTAAGACAACACAAGTCTGTGGTGGGGATTAAGCAGGATGATGGATTGCATCGCTCAGACTGCCAGGCCTGTAGTCGACCACTTCAGGAAGACATGCCCGGTCGGAACCTAATCTGGCGAATGCCCCGAGCGACTATTAAGTCAGTGCATTTGATCAGCGACTGACCCAAGATCTTGTCCCGCGGGATCTGGTTTAGTGTCGATTCAAATTGATTATTACCCGGATCTCCGAGTGAGCGAATGTCTTTGCGCTCAAATTTGAGCCAGTTCTGGTCTTGCCGGATACGCGGTAACTACAGTTCGGTATGGTAACCATGCATCCATCCGTAAATTCGCCGTGATCGACAACAAAGTCCCCAAGGGTATGGTGCAACCGTCAAGTGGCTGCCATGTCCGTGGATGATCATGGGTCGCAGAGATCGGTCCCTCCTCTGCATGACTCCAAGCAGAATCCGGAAGGACCTGATGAAAGTAGTATGTAGATGACATCCGCCCAGATAGGTAGTCAGTTGTGATGTCCAACAGCATCCATTCCCCTCTCTATCCAAGGCAGTCCAACCCCTCTTCCGTGTAACCTCGAGTGAAGCAGGTGAAGAACCGAGTAGCTCTTCACCAAGTTCATTGGCTCCTCTAGCCGGATAAGTGAGTAATAATAAAACCTTGATTAGCTTCCAGGTGCAACTTGTCTGCATGGCGAGTGTTACATGGGTTTCGCGTGTGCAGGTTACACCCCAAGGCAAATGCCCAGGGTGAACAAACAATGATCAATCAATCATTCACATCTGCGTAAACTCTCCATGACTGCGAGGGGAAGTAATACGTCGTGTCTCTCTTTCTCCCTCTCTCTGCCCGACCTCCCAAGCCAGGGACTCGATTTTCGACATATCCTGACTGGGTAACACCGAGAGGAAGCTAGTTGTCAGATGATAACCAGGTTCGTCGACACTGATCGGCACAAGTTTGCTAGGATGAGAGGGGGTCAGTGAGGAGTTATTGGCTTATGTCTGGTCTGTGCATACGACTCCTGCTGGGTGTTTGGACGACATGAGTGAATCGCGGGGTCTTCTGCCATGCATGAAGAGCGATGGTCGCCGAAAGGATCCCGAGTACAAGGCCATTCTCTCGTCCTCTCACCCCCCTCTCGCCCCCTTGTCTGGCACCGATGGCTTACTGAGCGGCTTGCAGATATCGACCTTAGCTGCAGAAAGTGCGAAGCCATGTAAGCCATCCTAGATCGACATGACACCAGTCTCGTAGAAGGAACAAGGCGATCGAAAGGATGCTATGGATATTAGCAGACGGCAATGGCGGTACATCCCAAGAATTCATGATTCGTGACAGCTCCACTGGCGACAGCAGAGACAGGGACAGGAACAGACCAGCAGGAAGTTGACCCGACAACTTGTCACAAGGAGGGGTAACCATACCCACAACCAGCAGAATCACGATCCAGAACCCAACTTGAAGTTCCTTCCTCTGAATATTGTTATTGTTCGTAATTTCCAGGATCGACGCAGGGGGATTCCGTGTGTCAGCCAGCGTGTGGAATCCACGTACTGCCTCAAGCATGACCCGACTCCTGATTAATTTCAGTCTATAGACCTTAGGGTTAAGTCAGTGACCGGTTGCATAAATCCCAGGATACCTCGTATCGGAGGACGGATATCCGATTAGTGCCCCCTGGCACAGAAGATATGAAGGGAGAGAAAGTGCGTAATGTGGAGAGAGTCAGTCATCCAGAGAAAGGTCTGGCCCAGACAGCTAGACCACCCATCTCCTCCGTCCTCCCCGACCCCAAAAAACACCCCCCCCAAAAGATTGAGTGGAGCAACAATCCATCCAAAGTACAAAGTACCAGACTAACTTAGTCCTCTGTTCATTAATTAATCAGGCACTTCACCTCAACATCAATCCCGACACGAAATACTACATTGTAAGACCTCCACGTACCTAACCTTCCCAAAGCGGTATATAGTCGTGCCAATCAGCAAGAAGAATCTCGCTTATGCATTTAGCACTTAAGTAATTAATTACCCAAGTTGGCAGTCTTCTAATTAGGTACAGAATCTAGTATTATTTAGTAATTCCCAACAAATCTGTTAGCTGTCAATCATAATTCCTAAACGATGCAGGTTAATATATTCAAGCAATATAGATTGATTAAGTGGCCCATCCAAGGTGCACCATTAGGGTCGTAAATTCGCCATGCCAAGTACTACGCTAATTTCTTTCCCCGGCCTCCCCGGGACCGTAGTACGGGCACTAGATCTACTAGTTCGCATGCCGAGAAGCTACTTACTTACCTTTTCCCCCCTTGGACTGGGGCACTGGAGATTGGTCGTGGATTTCCGTTGGTCCTTCCTTTATGGCCCCCAGGATAGTAAGGGGGTTAACTGGTGAGGGGATGTAGACTAAGTACTAATGGACGGAGGGAAAGTCGTCAGGGAAACATGAAGTACTACTATACTAGTATCTGTCTATCTACCCATCTGTCTGGTTAGTCAGGTCTCAATGATAGGTGAATAGTAGTTACCACCTAACTCAGTATTACTGAGTCATTTAATATACCGGGGTCTTCCCGTGCGAGCAAGGGTCAGGGGTGATTTGGAATAACTAGCAGGTAGGCCTACATACCCCCAGAAAATACTCGTTGATTTAATCTACTTAGCTTGATTGACATACATTGTTGCCGACAATACTATCCACAACACCCGGGCGCTTATCAATCCGTGGGTGTGCGGAGAAGTAGTAAGAAAAAGAGAGAAGGAAAAACAGCTGAGTAAATCAGGACAGACCCGTTATCATTCCTACTCCCCAAAAACTCAATAGAGTAAAACTAGTAGCTGGTAGCTTCCCAACGGCTTGATAAACAGGATTGCTGCAAGCGCTTACTTCTGGTCCGTAAGGTTTCCACGCATGTCCGATGCTCGGGACGGAAAAAAAGAAAGGAAAAAGAAAAAGAAAAGAAATCCAGGTCATGAGTAACGAGTTGCGATGGCTTTCACCATCCCTGGTCATGCCCAAAATAGCAGTCCTATGGAAGCATCGAATTTGTTTCAAGTTGGTTTCATGGGCGGCAAGAATGTTGTTCTGGAAGCCTTTTTCCTGATCTCCTACTGGCGACCGCAGGGAAAGACAGTGCCAGGGGTTAGAATCCCAGCGCTTATGTTTGGGCGAATGCAAGCGCCAGCACACAAAGTAGAGCATGCAGCTAAGCAGGACTAGTCCCAACAACATAAAAAATATCCACAAAGCGCTGACATTGCTCGACACTTGCTAATCAATTAGCTGCCGTCTATCTATAGACTAGCAATGACTAGCATCAGACAGTCGGGCGCTTGTTTGGAACTGCGACAGAATACCCTGGGTTTCTTAGTGCGCCGCCACGAGACGAGGCCAAGGAAGATATTAATGGAATCCTTTGTGTTACTTACTTTACTTGACCAAGCACGATGGCGGGCGAGGGATGCTTCCTTGCATCCCACGCAACGCCGAGATAATTTAGACATTCGTAAAATTTGGGGCCAAAAGTCTAGCCATCCCATAGTTAATCCACAGTAATGGTCCATCAGTTATCTGTCGTCGCGACAACAACGATGGGGCGCCCCCTGGAAAAATTGGCACCTGCCAGCTGGGACCCGACACAAACTGACATGCGAAACAGTCTCTCTAAAAAGTGGGGTGCAGTGGAGACTCGGCCACGATCCGTCGGAACGCCATGATGGATGTGTCACTTCCGTATCCAAAGTGTACTATACCAGCCAAAATGCGTCCAGGATGATTCTCATCAAGAGAATCGGCTTCTAAACTTAGTGCTGCAATTGATGAAAAGATCCGGGACTTCTTGCGTACCTTGCAGGCGCACTGTGTTGTTTCTAATTCTGTATGCCTGCAGCAGCATCCGGAGATATCGGATGCTGTGGATAAGATAGTGGTCTAGTAGTACTGAGTGTTAGCCGTGTTGGTCCTATTGTGCTTCGTGATTGGTGTGGCTCATGTGGGCGCTTAAGACACTTTACTTGACGGGGAGCGTAGCATCCTAAGAATAGCCCACTCCAGGTCTTTTCACTACCAAATAATGTGGTCAGGTTGATATCTTTCAATTAGTGGCCGGGCGATCATTTCCACGATGAGTCGAATACCAATCATTTTCCCTTGGCAATAGAAGAGATTTCCCTTTCGTACTTGTGTGTTTTGAGTCTGACACATGGAAGCAGGGATTAACTATTTCCTCCGTCGAGTTGACATTCTGGGCGCACCCGAAATAAGGCTTAGCGAACCCCTCATTGTCAATCCTTGGGAATGTCTGGGATTACCTGTCACCTTAAGTTTCTGATGATCAGGGATGCTCCTTGAATGGCAGTTTGGCACGAAAATGTTCCAGACTGTTTTCGCCGACTACTTGTGCTGGTATAGTTAATTTGAGCTAGCTGCAAGATACTGAAATAAGAAATAAGCCGTTGGTGTCAGAAAGACTGAAAAAGTAAAAAAGAGTGGGCGGTGGCCCTTCCCTGCCGCACCGAGAGAGCGTCTCCAGAATAAGGGACCGTCAGCATGGTAAAGTTTTGAAATCTCATCTGGATCAATTAAGTTACACGCATCAGCATATTGACGTGGTCTGCCACGTGCGGATGCATTGGGTGGGATTCGGGTGTCGTATTACCCTCGTGTACAGAAAGGCTCAGTACGTGAAGCCCCTGAGTGCACGTCCATGTCAGCTTCATTGTAATTCCCGAGTAAGACGTGATTACTTGTCATCTGTCGACGCTCCAAAAGAAATGGAGCTCGCTTTTCTGTTTCAAACAAATGGTGTCCCTTATCACACATAAGGTCATATAATAAGTTGTGGGTCAGTTCAAATTATTAGGATTTTGGAGGCACACAACCGGAGTAAGATTCCCTACCCATAATATTGCTGTAGGGAATGGATAGAGCCCAGACCAGTAGTGCATACTAGTACCCAAGGTTAGGTAGAAGTCACAGGATTCTGGAACATCTAGAATACCCTGTCAGCACACCAGTGAAACGAAGCCACAATATTGGGACTTCCAGAAAAGAGTGAGGGGTGGAAGAGAAAGGAGGAACAGGAAGCAAAACATGCCCCACCGGAGAGGCATCTGTCGCTGTGCAACAATATTGGGGCTGGTTATCAACACATTCTAGAATTCTGTGACGTGGTGCACTGTGTTACTTCATACTATCGTAGTCGAATAGCCACGGAGCTGATCCGTCGCACATAGATGAGCCAAACTTAGCAACAATGCTCCGGGAACCTCGTCGCCAAAAATTTCGGCTATCGGTCAGTTCTACCATGTGCGACGACATTCTGACCGAACAAGACAACATGTGGATAACCTATGACATAGGGAGAGAGCCACATTACAGGATGGATGCCACAGCGCGACCCGAGGGAGCGGTGAAAGAGAGGAGCAGAGTGCTGCGCCTCACTTCGATCAATCCTCATTGCGGCATTAGCGCACGGGGATCTTCCAATGGAAAGTGCGGTAAGATCCGCCCGGTGACACACGATGAAAAAGTATTAACTATTAAGATGTGGCTCAACCAAACATGTGGCGCTAAGGTCGGGTCGGGAACTCCGTCCTCACCGACTTAGCGTCTCTTCTTCTTGCGCCCCCCTTCGGAGAAGAGCGTCGGGTGTGTGCGTTCGTCACTGGTTTTCAAATTCTTCGAACCCAACCGCTTGCATTCTACATCTGCATACTGCGCCAAACCCGCTTCTGTGGCTTGATGACAAGGGGGATAAAGTCCATTGCCTTGTAGATTGTCAAGTTCGAAGCGTTTTTCAGGCGAAGTATCCCCTAGGCCCACAATATCTTGTCATTTCGTGTAGATATCCTCCTTTGTGGAGGACAATTAAAAATGGGAGGGGCTTATTCAAGGGACTTTTCACTACAAAGTTGTAGTAATAGGCACAGATCGGTCGTTTCTTTGTCCTTTGTTACTCCTGTCATACTCAGGTATTGTGATCGTACGGAAGTATGGGAGGGTATGTAACAACACTACTCAGCCTTGCATGAGCCACAGTGGACCCACTCAACCTGGCAGCCACGATGTCATTTTTCTCATGTTTGACTTGCGTTCCATACCGGTTTGATTGAAATGGGAAGAATGAAGCGACAGCTTCGTGGGACTAAGCCAAGGCATGTCATGATCCTTTTGACAGCCATGCTCTCCTACGGTGAACGTGCGATGGACCGTCGTGTGCCCCCAACGTGTTCGGCGTATTTGAGGACGGGACTATTGAAATCTATAATATTCCACATTATAGCAAAGTCGTAGATTGCCCGCCCACACACACTCTCTCTTTCTCTCTCGGGTGGAGGGTGAAAAAAATGTGCGGCTCTGTCTATATCGAAAACCCTAGTCCCGTGTTCGTACAGTTTGGGCAAGATGATTGTCCTCGCCCGACGCCCTAAATGAGAATCGTCTTCCCGTCTGGGACAATCTCGGAAGTCTGATTGGATCGAAGAGGGTCGTCGGTCCATGACGCTTCATTTGCCCGTCGTGAGTTACTGGCCAATCGTTCCGATCGCTGGAAAATGCACGTTTCTGAAAGGGGTGTTGTGAGGGAGTGGAGCTGAGCTAAGATCGTCAAAAGGACCCATGAGGTCGGCGACTTGAGCGATGGGTGTTCGGAACTGGCGGCCACGGCCCAGATCCAGTTGCTTAGTTTGCTGCTAGTAAGAGTCCTCCACGTCCCTCCTGGATTGAGGACGATCTGAACCACATTGATGGGACGAAGGAAGCGTCCCGCCATAGGCACTTTTTTTTTTTTTTCGTTTTTTTCACAGTCCGAGGAGAAGAATGACAGATCGACCACTGACGGTAGAATTGATTACCCTTAAACTTTCAAAACGTCTGTTTCCTCTGCGGTGTGTGTTAAGTCAATGACACATTCGCTCGTTTGGATTTCTCCTTGAGGATTCGACTAGATACTAAATGGTTGGACACGCACTACTAAGCGGATAGGTCACCAAGCACTAAAAGTTGCCCAGTCCGTATCCCCGTGATGGTGTAGCCACTAGCCTATAAAACATAGCAATTATCCGCTCGCAGGAGGTCACATCGTCTAGTGAAAGACATTGAGGAGGGGGGAAAGAAAAATTATTTGCCACCATCTTATCAGGAACAATGGCCGTGCCATGATTAGCAGGAATGCGGAGGAAGGGAAATAAACAAATATCTAACCGCTAAAACTGCTACGTAACCGACAAGGTTTGGTAGATAGTCAAATGGGCTACCGACAAATTAATGCCAAGTTTTCAACCGAGGATGGGCGTGTGCCACTACGGACTTGCCGATGACACCTGCGGATACGAATGTCAGGAATGCACGGGGTACGGCGACCCCGTAGTAGGCATCCAGGTCTCCAGATCATTATTTCCTAGTATCGTCCTTAGCTTATATTATTCATTATTAATTTATTATGATCGATCGCTCAGATACTTGGGTTCTAGACACATTCAAAGGGACGTGTTTCATAAATGAATACTACTTATTCAGGAGTAATGTGGTAGCCGAATACGATACGGGCTCGCGAATTCCCCAGTTCGACAGTACCTTACATGCAGGTGGTGCGAAAGAAGAAACCACAAAGAGGCATGGATAAGAAGTATCCAATTAAAACACCTAGAGACAATGGATAAAATAAAATGGAATAAAAAAGGAAAAATGGGGAGAGGGGATGCACGGAATTTCGGAAAAGAGCGAGTCGATTAACATTCTGATAGGGCCCGAATTCCAAGGGCGATTGTATGAAATGCTTGCTAGAGGTTAGTGATTGTGGAGGCTTTGACAAAAGTTTGGGTGGCCGTGGAGTGGATCGCAGATGGGGTTCCCTTATTACCGTTTTAGGTAATCATCGGGGAGGACTTGGGTATCGAGCATCTCCGAATAATACTGTATTATTTGGGGTTGTAACGATTACTCTCATGAGTGTAAGTAGATAAGCACATACACAATCTGATCAGAAGATTGGTGACTGATTCAGGAAAGAGGCAAGAAGAAGAAAAAGAATGCATTGAACGGACGAATAACTGTTTACAGTATCGTGTAGAGGAAATCGAATGGAAACTACCAAACACAATAATCGACAGATTAGGATCTGATAGAGGAAAAGGGAGAAAAAGTAATGAAAGGAAAAATGAGCATATGGACATATCCTTACGATATTATTCGTGAGCAGATCGCTTTAAAATGAAAATGACCTAAAGAAAATAAAGAAAATGGGAAAATAAAATGAGAAAGAAAAAGAAAATCAAAATAGAATAAGGGGAAAAAAAAGTAAAGAAAATTCCCAAGCAACAGAAAGTTATCCTGCAAGTGAACCCTCCGGCTGGCAGTGCAGGATGGATGATGCATGATGGCTA